TATTTTTTTTCCCCTTGTTGACTTGTAAAAGCCTATATCACATTTTTTTCATTAACCGCACAGAGAGACATCGTTTAAATATGTTAAGATTTTCTTTAAGCAAACAGTATTATTAAAGTTCTTCATGACTGGGCCAAGTGTCCTCCTTTTTGGAAATCAAAATATGGTCACCCAATTTTATAGGGATATATGATATTTGAATAATGAAAACATTTCACAACAGGATATTATCATGAAACCCCCTCTGTTATGTTTATATGTAATAAACATTGAATATACAAAGTATTAAAATAGTTAAAAAAATAAAAAAAAAAGACCTAAATGTGTTTTGTGCAAAAAAAAAAAAAATCCTAATATCCCGCAGCTGATCAGTGATGATCAGCTCTTTGGAGTACAAGATGACCTTCACAGATATTTTTCCATCAATGAATTTATTTTCTTTCAAACTTGCTTATCTGCAGAGCTTTTGCACTGAACTCATAATATTGCATAATTTATAATGAGATAAAAACAAAAGAGGCACGAACATAAAATGCTCTTTCTGGCTGCCTGTTAGGAAACAATGACACCGTGTTAGCCTTTAAATCAGCTGAGCTGGCTGACCTTTCGGGCTGTGCAGCAGATACAAGGAAACACTTAGCATAAAGTGTTGTGAATGAGTCTATTTCTATTTTTTTTTTATCGCTTTCTCAGTCTGTTTGCAATTTTTGAGATCTGTTGTTGTCAGTTACCTAAGAAAACTGTGCATTGCCTTTCTGTAGGAAGGGAAATCAGTTGGTTTGGGGTCATTTGAAAACAGGAAATGGAGCTTTTTGAAAAAAGATGAAAAAATAGCAAAACTGACGCTGTAGAAAAGCTGCTTATCTTTTTTTTTTTCTACCTCACTCGTCTTATTTCCTGCTCATTCTCGCAGTTCCCATGGTAGTGTAATGTTTGAGCACCTGACTCACGGCAGCTCTCCGGGCTGTGGGGGTGTTACAGGATCACCAAGCCAAGCCAGATGCCCTCTCACTAGGTAGCCAGCTACATACTGTACATCTTCCACCTCTTCCCACTTTAACGGTCCACTGGCCTCCTCACACAGACACATTGTGCATTGATGCTGTGCCTTACTGTTTGTGAAATAGGAAAAAAAGGAAAATATCACATACTGCTGAACTCCATTTTTTTTTCTTGGTAGTGATACCTGCTGTTCAACAGACAGTAAAACACTGGTGTCAGTATTGACAGAGTGGAAAAGCAGTAGTCATGTAAAGTCATGTAAAGAACAGAAAAGCAGCCAAATACCCAGGATGCAGATGAGCGATGGTAAATCTTCCTTACTGAAATTACACACAAGCTTCATTTCATCTTTTTTCATGGTCAGCTGTGCAGAGAGTTTTAAATGGTTAAAGTCATTTTCAAGTGACTTTTTGACAAATACTTCATTTTCCTTTCCCCTTAACAGTCCATATAATAAATAGAATATAGACGACATATCGCAGGTTATACCATCCCACACTAAATATGCAATACACAAGTAAGAATTAGAGTTCTGCAGTGTTTTTTTT